GGTTTAACGTCATAAAACCACCATATTATTATGAAAGACGCTGTAGTGGAGGGCTCCGCAAATTTTGACAACCAGGGGTTGTTTAACGTGCACCAAAATGGGAGTACATTGGCATACAGGACTTCCGCCTCCGTCGAAAATGCAGCCGCTGCAGCTGGGATTTGACCCCGCGATTTGCGGGTCAGCAGCCGAGGACCTTAGCCACTAGACCACGGCGGCGGGGCTCGCAACCAACCAAGTGTTTCTTTCTACCTGCAGAAACCGATGTGTGGATTTCATTTGCGATGGCTTCTTAAATGTAAAATGCTACTAGAACTCGCTTGTATAAATAACTTAGTAGCCAATAGGCGTAAACCGGGAATGAGTTTCAGCCATTCTGTCGCTCATGGAAACCATTTTGAGAAACCATGTGCATGTGTAAAAGCATCCAGGAGATGTGTCGCATGCATGAAAATGGCTCCACGTTTACAGCTACTGGCTCACGCCAAATGAGCACGCTAGGTGACCGCACGCAGTAGCGTCGACATTAAAACCGCCGCGATCGGGGGAACACGCACAATAAAGAACTTGAGTCAACTCCGCTACGCATGCCATCCGACTCGCTGGATATAACTAGGCGCCAAAGGCACCAGAACACAGAGTCTATCTACTATACTAGCAGCACGCTCGATGCATGGTAGCACATTTTTGTGGGGTCACGCATATTTACAACAATTTAAAGGAGATTATGGCGGCACCATGAGAGCATTTGTAACCAGAAAAGTGCAAAGTAAAAAAAAAGAGGCTTGGCTATGTGTTATTGCTGAACTCCGCCTTTTCCCCCCACTTATGCTGACGTTGCATCAAAATTCCAGCTTTTGAAGCTCCTCTAGAAAAGTTCGACGCAATATTTACAATTTTTACGCTTTTGGTGCAGCTTGGCGCAAAAAAAAACGAAATATACAAAAATGTGCAATATGCGCAGCTGTGTCACCTCTGTTAAACCTAACAAAAGATACAAGATGAAGGTGGTACATGCCTACGCGCCTATATCAAGCCATGATGACGTACAAGTTGAAAATATTATGAAGATGTGGAATCGGCAATGAGTAAGGCAAAAAAAAGTCACAGTTTGCCGAAAAGATGAAGCAGTGAACACAAGCAACAAAGTGGAAGGTCACGCACAAAATGGCAAGCACATCGAAAAGTGCCCCGCGGTTTTCACGCATAAATAATGCAAAAAACGTACTCACAGGTACCGATAAACGCGAATATTTGTTTCAGTTGTTACGTCACTGTGTCTGGAAAGCACGCTCTTTTCGCAAACTGAGACTGCACCACAATTGCAGTGACCTTTGTGCGCCCAGTAACTACAGCAGAATCGTTCTGGCGAAAGTCAAAGGCCAGTCAAGACGTCCTCCTCACCGTGAGATAAGGGGCGCACGATTGAGCGTCCACCCCAACTTTTCCATGAGGCAAATTACACGTGGGATATGAGAGTGCCTGCCGCCACGTCGTGGCGAAGTGGCGACGCGCTATCAATGCGCCATCTTGCTGGTAATCCTGCAAACACATAGTACCCTCCCCGAGGTGCCGTTCACCAGCGGCAAGTGGTAGACAAAAATACGTTACCGTTTGAACATTGAAGGAACTGCTCCTCTGTGACTCAGTGGTTAACACCACAAAATCACATTTCACAGGTCCAACATTCGATTCCGCGCGCTGGAGTTTTTTTATGAATGTTTTCTTTCAAATAAAAAGCATTTCTTAGCGAACTTTGGCGACTTTGAGCATATCTATCTATCTATCATTGTAGCCGCCTACGACTTTCCACTCTCTTGGCAGTTTAGATAATGGCATCAATACCAAACTTGGTATGGCATAACATCACTCTATGACGTACATATTTGACTAATCATAACATGAAAATCATGACATGTGGGATATGAATGTCATCATTTTGCCATTTTATGGTGTTGCTGCTCTTGCAGTGGTTTCGTTCACACACGTTGCAAAATTGGTACGGTATGACACGGTTGCATGGTGAACACAAGCGACAGACCCGAACATGAAAGCCATGACATGCGTGTCATGTAACAACACGACTAGATGCGACGCTCATAATGCGCTGGTGGCCATTTCGTTAGCTTCACTTATACGAAATTCGGTATTAAGGGATATGAATAATTGACAAGCCATTTTATGGTGTTGCTGCTCTTGCAGTGGTTTCGTTCACACACGTTGCAAAATTGGTACGGTATGACACGGTTGCATGGTGAACACAAGCGACAGACCCGAACATAAAAGCCATGACATGCGTGTCATGTAACAACACGAATAGATGCGACGCTCATAATGCGCTAGTGGCCATTTCGTTAGGTTCACTTATACGAAATTCGGTATTAAGGGATATGAATAAATGACAAAGGTATGAGACTGGTGCAAATATGATAAACATGAGATGCGTGTCATGTAAAAACATGACTACATGCTACGCTCATTATGCGCTCGTGGCAGTTTCGCTAGTTTTATATATACCAAATTCGGTATTACGTAACACCAATGGACGACATAGGTAAAGGACATCCAAACGTAATAGTCACGACATGTGTGTCATGTAACAATATGAGTGCATGCCACACTCATGATGCGCTCGTGGCCGTTTCGCTAGCTTCACATATGCCAAATTTGGTATTACGTGGCGTCAATGGAGGACGAAGGTATGTGACTGGTGCAAACTTGATAATCATGAGATGCGTGTGATGTGCGAACATGACTACATGTCACAGTCAAGACGCCAATATACTTCGGCGTTACCTGGTGCACGTGCGCGCCGGCGTTGCCACGCCAGGCGCCGGTCCTGCCATATACATTGGAAATACTGTCCTTCAAACGCACGGCAAATACCGATGTAATACTCAAAGACTCTTGTCATTTTATGAAAACACGTCGTAAATAGCTGTAAAGGACAATGGACATATGCTGTATACTCAAACACAGACATAATAGTTGTAGTAGGTAATTTTTTAAATGTGTTTAGGTTGGTTGCACTCTTAAGGTATTTTCCAACCAAAGACCATTACAGACTACTTTTATTGCAATAACAATTATATGACTACTCTTGAAGTGCTCTTGCCACCAGCGTCACCGTCGCCGTTATGTTCTATACAAAGTCCAAATTGATATCCTCCCCGATCGCACAGTTTAGACCGCGGATAAAACGCGGACGATGCGCATACGATGCGTGACACAATGCAACAAGTTTAACCATTAGTAAAATGTCATGCTTGAGAGCAGCGAAGGTAAACAATATTTAGCTGCCGTCCTGAGTTATTGCCAGACTGCCTGCGTGTGTTACATGCAGTGAAGAAGACATGTGGAAATATTCGTACACAAGGAATACTCAAAAGTACATCACAGTATTCCAAGAGATAGAATAAGCAAATATTACAACTCTTTGCGAAAGTAGTTTCATTGCAGCGTAAAAATGCTATGCCATGAGAACACCTACAACCAACCCTATTCTGTGCTGCCGCTAAGCCGAACTTCAAAGTTGAATGAACACCTTACTCTCGCACATGTTACTGATTCATTAACGGTTAATAGCTTGTTCTACGGGCTTATATTTTATGAGTATAGCAATTTTAAAAGTTTACTGTACTTTACTGGTTATCTCATTCGATAGCAAAGGGAAATAAAATGAAGACAGATTTTCACTTTTTCTTTCATGGGAATAATTATCGTCATTAAGAACTGTATCCTATTTCGTCAGGCACTCTCCAAGTTCAGGATTTGAGAACTTAGAAGTAAAGTACTTATTGCTGTTTCTTTATGTGGCCAGAATTTGTATACATATTATTTCGATCAACAATATTTTTTTTAAACTAACTTTGAAATCATTGTTCTGAGCCAAAAACCTGCGCGTATAAGTTTCGTCAGAATCAGGAAGGCTGTCCATGGGACCACAGTATGATTATGAGTCCCGCCGTATTGAACGGCTTCATTAATTTAGTCCATCTGGTGTTGTGCCACGCACACTGACATTGCGCACTACACAAGCGCCTGTATCGAGACAAAATTCAGTGTGGCCACCGCGGCCAGATTCGATGTTGTGCGAATATATCATCACTAAACGCTTTGAAAAAAGGCACTCGACTTACCGATCTTGTACAGCAAAAATAATGAAATCAATAAAATAAATAAACAGTAAAGGTTAAACAGATAGATGCGTATACGAAGAATGAGAAATGATCTGCAGCGTGTTGGTGACAGATGCACGCATTGCTTTGCGAAAACAATATTAAAGACCTGTGGCAATAAAATAAGTTCAATGTGATAAACAACGGAATCGCCTAGCATTCTGCTAACTGCAGTTCTGTCGCGGGCATTCGCGCCTCACGGTCTTGGCTACCGCAAGTATAGCAAAATTGGAAGCACGTACCGCACTGACGTTTGCCTGTCTTTAGTATTTCAAAACACGTAATTGCATTTTAACACTGTTTCGAAAATTGTGAGATGTGCACTCTTTTTTCGTCCCACTTGTTCCTGGAACTGTTGAGTAAGCGCAAGTTATTATTATTTGCTTATTTATTTATTTAAAAATACTGCAACACCAATAAGGAATTTTCGCAGGATGGAACACAAATATTTGATACAACTAGTAGGGTGAACAAGACAATGAAAATGAAACTACGTGTGGTACAAAATCTATGCAGATATATATAAAATTGAAGCAACACCTCAAATACAATTATCAACACGACGAAAAGTAAAATAAGCTTGTTGCACAAGATGGGAGATGAATAAATTCAGAGATGGCTGCAACACCGCATCCTGGGACAGTTGATTCCATTCATTTGAGACCTTGGAAAAAAACTGAATACTTAAAGCAGTTGCTGACAAAGGGAGCGGTTGCAGCACAGCGCGACGTAATAATGACGCCTACCAAGCTTACGGCATGGCGCTGTCAAGGTACAAAGGTTGTCGCAGAGATAACGCCGTCAGCGCGCGGTAGTACACGCTCTGCCTCAAACCCTAGCCCCCTCTTGCGCGAAACGTGTGTTTGCGGCAGCGCACAGCCACTTCAAGCGCTTCAACAGCTGGGCGCCGGCGCTGGATTAGACGGCGCCCCCAAGGCGCCGTTTGGCACTGGCGTCGTGGCGGACTTCAAGTCACGTAATCAACGTTTCCCGCCTTTCGTCTCGGTCGTGTTGTGCGGACTCCCCTCGGCGCACGGTCCGATCCGTTCGAGTGCTGGTTTTCGTCGACATATTTTTCAGGCAAGAGGCTGCAACGACGTTTGATGGTCTTCAGGACAGGACTCGTTGGGAATTTTACCGCAGGTACGTGTGCTTCATTTTGGCTTTTGCTATTGGTATGCCGCATAACAGGCACGCGAAAGTATATGCGATTTAAGTAAGGCTCAAGGTGCAGCACTCCCGATCAGTTAGCAACGGATCAGCAAAGCGTATAATCTTTATTAAAAGCATAACGCCCGTGGTACAATGGCGTGAAACAAGGTTCCTGTTGCCAAACCGTTTTCTGCTCTCACTAGAGTGGCACTAGGAGGTCTATCTTTTGGGCAACAACAATTCAAAACCATACATTGTCACCCATTGAGTGCTTAAATTTTCATGTTGGTGATTGTTAACGTTTTAGCTGAACGTGTCGCGTGGGCTTATCGTTGTGTATTTGTGTTGTGCTGAGAATAGTCAGGCTTTATTAGTTCAAGCTGGCGCTATGCGTTGAGTGATGTAAACACGTGTTTCTTGAGAGAAAAGCACGTGTTGCTATATCTATAGGTGTGCGCAGGCTTCTCTGTCAGGGGAGGAGGGAGGTTTGTCGCAGTGCCTCCCTTCCATATTATACGGCTATATATGGGGCTGACTTTGAGCCCCTCGTGCGCACGTCTATTATACTGTTCGTTGTTACATGTGGCTAAATGCCTCGATCTATGTTTTCACATGTTACTCGTGTATGCTTCGCTGGCAGTACACGTTGTCACAGAATATTTCCTGGAGCCCTGGTGAACCAGTGGAAGTGATGAGGACCCCTTGCAGTGATAGAAAGGTCATAAATTGACACAACATGCTGTGTCAAATAGGTGCCTTTTCTTTCTCTCTGGTATGAATTATTTCAGGTTGCCATTTCAATCTTAACAGCTTGCCAATGTGTTGTGTGGTCTGCTGCGAAATTCCACCTGTTTCTAGCTACGTGTGGCCTTGAAATGTGCGAGCATAAAAATATTTCTGCATGTATATGCCGTAGAAAACCACAACAGATTGTTTTTAGCCATTTTGTGGAGAAAGGGCCACACAAGTCAACTCCGCTGCAATAAAAAAACTGTCATGCGGTGATGCATACCAAAAATAGGAAGGAGCAGTTGTTACGGGAGATAGTGTTTGTTTGCTTGTTGTTTGTTTGTATCAAACAAAAGGCGTTTGTTTGCTTGTATGTTTGTATCAATAATGGGTTCCACGCAACCCTGTTGTGAAAATCGCTGGTGTAAACGCCTTGTGTTTTTTTCGTGTCCTAAGTTCTGTCTCATATTTCCTCGAGTTTCTTTGTGTGATGCTTTCAGGTAGACAATTAAAGGTGTAATATTACGTAGTGGTGGCGTCATCTCCGACCTGACAACCCGTTCTGATCCGACCACTGCCTTGTACGAAAATATTCTTTGCTTGTATTCAGATTTTTTTTGTGAAGCTCCTCGTCTGCACTTGCAGCTGCTATTGTGGTGTGCACCATGGAAACAGACTGAGACGCTCAGAAAAGGTTAAATCCTTAGAGGACCAATAGGCTAATAGGAAGTGGTCGTTGCTATTTGTTTACAGCACTGTCTTTCTTTTTGAAAGACTCCGTATTCATCCATGCAGAGCAAGTAAGTGCTGCCACCTTTCGGAGATAAAATGTATTTTTTTACTTTACCTAGCATCCTATTTGTTTTAATAATAAGTTTTTGCTATGGCATCCACGTATTGCAATGTGCGGTCGCGCGATGGTTAGTGTGGTGTCGACGATGATATTTGTTTGCCCTTAAACTTTTCCGTCCGATTTCTCAACAATATCGACAATCCCTCTTCACCCGTTAATTCCCTTCGGTTGCGGAATCACATCTGTTCACAGGCGAATACTGGTGCATAAAATGATGTTAATGCTCACCTGCCTGCGTGTCCCCCCCCCTCCTTTCTTCATTGAATATATTGCACGACATAGCTGTTGAAACTCGCCCTGATTAGTCAATCGGGGAACGGAAAGGATCACCACGGTTCTGCTTCGTGTCCCACAACGCGTGCACCGATTTTTCTGTCCTGGGGCGCAATGCAGCATGGCCTGAGCTTCTCAGGCAGCCGCGTTTGCTCCGAGCTCGCTTGCGGTAGCTGTGGTACGATGACACTGCGGAGCACGTGATAGTCGTGTTGATAAAAAATTGGCAGCATATCCAAGGAGTGCATGATGGGGAGTGGGGCGATGGGTTAGTCCGTGCAATCGTTCTTGCTTCCGTCCGTCCGTGCGTCCGTCTGTGTGACCGTCCATGCGTCCATCCGCGCGTCCGTGCGTGAGTCTGTTCGTGCGTCCGTCCCTGCGTTCGTCCATGCATCCGCCCCTGCGTCCATGCATCTGTCTATGTGACCGTTCGTCCATCTATTCAATATGCATCCAAGTATCACCATCTCGCATTTTTTCATCATATATTCTCCATACAGAAGCACTGCCATCCAGCGGACATTCTAAGGACTAAACGAGAGGTAGCAAACGCACACTTTCTAACGGGTTGCGCTTCGGGTCTACTTCCCACCTTCAACCACCTCGAGTTCATGGTATATAATAGTTCACTGTATTCATGGCCCTGCGGCCCAACGCTCGCTAAACCTTTCTAAAACCAAGGAGGTTACACCCAGCGAGTATCACGTAGCAACCCTTTCTTGTCACATCAGTGCTCAATGTACATGCTAATGGCTGCTAATGGGGAATGAGAGACAGGAGCATCCGGCTTTTAGTTCACGCGCACGCCGCGAACATTTTATTGTTCAACAAAGACCAGGAGGAATCTCCCTCTGGCACCACCTTGCAGGTCAAAATGTAACACTTGTTATACACTACGACTACGAGGGACGAACGGGTGCCACTTTAAGGAGCTTCGCCCCTAAAATGGCGACACGAATGCGCGTGGCGTTAGAAACACATGTGGGGCATTTGCGGTGGTTATCAAAGAAACACCGCGTGCGAGCACGTAAGCGCCACTACTCACTCAACATTTTAGCAGTGCAGCGAGGTTAGCGTCATTATCGTGCTCTATTTTTGCCAACTCAACACGCGCCTCCCACAGGCGTGTTCGTGGGCGTATGTCCTCTTTCGCGCAGGTTCTTTCGCTCCACCTGCAGCATAGAAAGTTTCACTCTGGAAGGCAGCAAGGCTGCACACGCAACACTCTCGTGCTGATCCTTTCGGTTCCATCAAGTATTACGGATAAATGTAACGAGAAGTGGTCACCAGTGGTGCTCGCATCTTGTCGGCAACGCGGCTGTGATTGGATATGCCATAAGCGCGGCTAAATTGAGTATGACATCATAGGGAGGTTAAAAATAACGTTGGCAGGTGCTCCGGGCGTTGCTTTAGTTGCGGGCGCCTTATGAGTTTCAGAATAGCGTTTGCTCTTCCAGGGGAAACTTTCCCCACGACCGCGAACCCGAATGCACGGAAGCTACTACACACAGCAATTCGCGGGCCTCGTGGGCCATGGTCACCGCGCGCTATTTCGGATTTTCTGCAGACGGGCCACGAACGCGAACGGCGGCTCGCGTTACAATGCACGTGCATTGACAACTACCACAGCGCAAGGGCTCGCGGTGCGCTATTCTAAACCTCCCGACATGACTTCCTTTACTTCTCTGTGCGTGTGTGCATAGCTTGTGCAGTAAAGCTAGTAGATGAACCATGCGCTCGCTGGCGTTGCGGCGTGAGCACTCCTCCTCGGCAAAAGCAAAAGAGGTGGGTGGACTCGATACTCGCCACGGATTTCTGTTAATCAAACTGATGGATGAGTGAACTCAGATACAAACTCGTTGATTTTGAGAAGGCGCGAGCTCAACTCGTGACTGTGATGGTGCCGCTGAGACCGTCAAGCGCTTGATGCAGTGAACGCTACGCGGCAGCTTCCTAGCATATAAAACATACGACGCGCTTTTAAATGCGAAGCCTTTCTTAGCGAACTTTGACGACTTTGAGCGTATCTATCTATCTATCTATCTATCTATCTATCTATCTATCTATCTATCTATCTATCTATCTATCTATCTATCTATCTATCTATCTATCTATCTATCTATCTATCTATCTATCTATCTATCTATCTATCTATCTATCTATCTATCTATCTATCTATCTATCTATTATCTATCTATCTATCTATCTATCTATCTATCTATCTATCTATCTATCTATCTATCTATCTATCTATCTATCTATCTAGCTATCCGTCTGTCTATCTATCTATGTATCTATCTATCTGTCTGTCTGTCTGTCTGTCTGTCTGTCTGTCTGTCTGTCTGTCTATCTATCTATCTATCTATCTATCTATCTATCTATCTATCTATCTATCTATCTATCTATCTATCTATCTATCTATCTATCTATCTATCTATCTATCTCGCCGCCTATGACTTTTAGCTGTCCTGGCCGTTTTGATAATGGTATTGATACCAAACCTAGTATGGCAAAACGTAACTGTATGAAGGACATATTTGACTAGTCATGACATAAAGCTCATGATATGTATGTCATAAATATCATGATTTACATTTCATGGTCCTACAGCTCTCTCGGTGGTTTCGTTCACATGGCATTTTGCAAAACTTGTATGGTATGACATGATTGCATGGTGAACATATGCGACAGGCCCTAACATAAAAATTATGACATGCTTGTCATGTAACAACATGACTACATGCCACGCTCGTGGCTGTTTCGGTAGCTTCATATGTACAAACACGGTATTACGCGACGTGAATAGACGACACTAATAAATTACACATCAAACATGATAATCACGGCATGCACGTCATGTAACATCATGACTACATGCAACACTCATGATGCGCTCGAGACCGTTTCGCTAGCTTCTCAACTTGCCAAATCTGGTATTACGTGACGTCAATAGATTACCATGGTATGTGGCTGGTGGAAAACATGATAGTCATGAAATGGATGTCATGTGGGAACATGAGTACATGCCACAATAAAGTGCCATTATATTTCAACGTGAGGCAATGCGCGTGCGCACCGGTGTTCATTTCGTTGCGTCCCGCCGGCCTCCATTAAACCGCCGGTTCAAGCAGCCATG